TCCTGCTGGTCGCCCTGGTCTTCACCAAGAACTTCGCAGGTGAGGCCGCGGGCGCGGGCGCGCGGGGTCGGCGGCGCCCCGGGGTCTCCCGGCAGCGTCCTCGCGGGTGTCGCCGGCCGCTGGGGCCGCCTGCGAGACCCCGCCTCGGTCTTGTCACCCGACCTTCCGTCCGTTCAGTCGCGGGCCGCGGGGTCCCACTCGGCCTGGCCTGGAGCTGGTGGTCCCAGCTGTGGCGGAGACGTGGGGTCTGGCCTACGGGATGTCACCGCAGGATCTGAGGGGGTGGAGAAGTGGCCGTGAAAGGACCTTACGGGCCTGAGAAGGGAGAGCCGATGCCGAGGGACGCGGAGCCCCACGCTGCCGGGCAGGGTCCCCGAGAAGCCGGCAGGTCCCCCCCCAGGCGCGGGGAGCCTCTGAGGGCCTGGAGCAGCGGGGGGGGGCGGGCCCTCCGGGCGGTGTCAACGGTGACAGGAGGTGGACCGCGTGGCCAAGCAGGCAGCCCCGAGCCCGCGAAGGCTCGTGCAGGTGGAAGCGGGGTCTGGACAGAGCAGTGACAGAGGGCCGCGCAGAAGGGACATTCTGAGATGTTGTCAGCAGAACTCACCCCGGCTGGACCAGGAGTGTTGTGGGGGCGCCTGAAGGAGGGGAGAGGCGGGAGGACGGACGGACGGACGGAGCCTTGAGCCAGCCTGTGAGGCACTCGGGCAGGGGCTCCTGGTGCCGCACCCTCCCTGAGGAGGGGGCTGGGGCAGGTGGAGACAGGACGTGACGCTCCCCGCATGGCATCTGGGCTGAGGCCAGGGGGACTCATGGGCCCTGCTTGTGGGGAAGGGGTGTCGGCATTCCTGTGCACTACCCCCAGGGGACATGTGGCTCTGTCCTCTGCAGCTGCTGAGCACCTCTGGCGGATGTTTGGCATTGGTTTTTCACAGACCCCTACAGATGCCTTACCTTTTAGGGGTGCCCCGAGACCTGGAGATGCCGTGCCTCAGGAGGTCATTGTCTGGGCCACTTAATCCCACCCCAGGGGCGGAGGAAGCCTCTGCTGATCTCCCTGGACACCAGTGCACAGACACCCAGCACTCAGGATTAGGACACTCCACAGGCAGGACGGGAGGTGCAGCACTCACACCTGCGCGTGAACAGACGCGCACGGTGGGGGGCTCGGGGCTCGCTCAGGTGTGCGTGGACGCGTTTTCTGTGGCTACAGTGAAAAAGAACCACAAATTGGATGACTTAAAATCACAGAAATTTACTTCGCAGAAATTTAGTTCTGGAGACTAGAGTCCAAAATCAACATGTCGGCAGGGAAGGCTCTGGGGCCCTTCCTTGGCTTGTGGCCACACCACCCAGTCTGTCTGTCTGTCTTCACACCGGCCTCTGCATGTCTGTCTGTGTCCACATCTCCCTCTTCTTGAAAGGACACAGGTCGTGGCTTAGAGTTGATTACATCTGCAAGACCCCATTTCCAAATAAGGTCACATTCACAGGTACTGGGACTTAGGACTTCAGCATATTTTGGGGGGGACAAAGTTAAACCAATAGACAGACAAAGATGGGCAGGCTTACACGTGTGTACACACGTGGACTCGGCTACCTTCAGGTGACCCGCCCACTCTGATACTCTTCTGAGTCCAGGTCATCACATGTGGGCTCGGTACTCCCCCATCCAGCTGGGCCTGTGGCTGCTGGTGTCTCCCCAAGTGTGTCCTTCATCCCTGGTCCAGGCTGTGTCCTCGGCCTCTCTGTGGGCCTGCCCCTTCGCGCCCATCTGCATTTGCCCGTGGACACACACATGCCCACCTGGGCCCCGTGCCCAGGCCCTTCCTCCCCCTCCCCTGCAGCGCCAGGCTCACTGCTGCTGCCCAGCGTTCCGGGACCTGAAGCCTGCCCTGTGGCACGTGCCTGGTCAGCTGACTGAGGTTTGCCCAAGAAATCTTGTCCCAAGTCGCAGAAAAAGCCGGGGCTCGGTAGAGGGTTCTCGAGGTTGCTCTCCTGCCCTCGATGGAAGGGTTGGTGGTCAGGACCGCCTGCCCCTTGCTCTCCCCCACATTCTGGGAAGTGTTGGCTGCCTCGTTTGCTTGCCCTGCTCAGGGTCCATGGCAGGGCGCTGTCTACGTGGGGATCTTCAGAGTCTCACATGAGCCGACCCCTGCTGCCTCACATGAACCCAGAAGTGTCCAGGATCCCCTGGGGCGTGTGCTGATGCCTGGGGTGGAGGTCCCCCCGGATATGGGGAAAATCAGGGTGTGGGGGAAGGGTGCCTCACAGGTGGGAACCACACGTGGCCACGGGGTGGACTGCAGGGGCCCTGCTGGCTTGTGGGGCATTGGGGCAGGGGTGCAGACAGGTGTGTGGTCAGGTCTGACATTCCAGGAGGGGCCTCTCCACTGGATCCCCTCGGACACACCCAGGACCTGGTGCCGAGGTGGCTGCCCCGAGGAGGGGTGTGTAGGGGCCTGTTCCCACTGCCCTGTATCAGTGTCTGTATGAGGGTCTGAGCCAGGGAGGTGGGTGCTGGGGGTGAGGCTGCTGCTGTCGTCCTGGGAGGACCGCAGCCCCTCCTCCGTCTTCAAAGCCAGCGGCATGGTATCTTCTGTCCCACCTCTCTTCTGTCCTCACATCTCCACCTCTGACTCTGACCCTCCTGCCACCCTTCCTTGTACAAGGAGCCTGTGATTACCCCACCCAGATAATCCAGGATCATCTCCCCAGCGAGGCCCGAGACCCAATCATGTCTGCCATGTCCCTTTCATCGCATCAGCCTGTGGCTATGTTACTTCACGGGACGAAAGGGACATGGACATCTTTGGGAGGCCGTCATTCCGCTGACCGCAGCACCCCACGGGGAGGTCTGTAGGGGCGTGGGAGTGTGGAAAGATCTGGACCTGCCCTGGGGTGAGGGGCTAAGAGACAGCAGTGGCCACAAGCTGGTCCGGGGGTGACGGGCAGGGTCTGGCCAGCCAGAGGAAACAGCCTCCGCAGAGCCGGGGAGCCCTGGGGGGGTGTCCCCTCTCCCCAGGTGGAACAGGGCAGGCATGGAAAGGGTGCGGGGCAGCCAGGAGGAGCCCAGCTTCGCCATCTGGGGGCACCATGGGGCACGTGCAGCCTGGGCAGTACAGTGGGTAGAGACGTGCTCGGGCTGCCAAACCGACACAGCCCAACTGGGAGGGACACTGTTGAGGGCCAGGCCTCGGCCTGGGGGCAGCCATGCTGGCATGTGCTCAGACACCAGTTCAGATTTGTTCTTCCCTGATGCTGTGTCGGGCACCCAGCTCTCGACACGTCGTGGCTCTGTCGCTGTCACTGGGGCTCTGAGGACCCTGTGCAGATGCCTGGCTACCCAGTGGCTCCTTGGTGGGGACACCACAGTGTCCTCTTGTGGGGTGGCTGGGGCGCCCTGCAGCCGAGCTCCACGCAGCACTGTTCTCCCAGGAAAGAAGCCCCTCGGGGCTGCTCCATCTGTGTTGTTGGGATGGGCCAGGCCTCCATGTCTCCCACATGGACACCTGTGCTGGCCCAGGCCGGAGCCCCACTGCCCTTGGGAAATCCCAGGGGAGGGGTCCTGGGTGGAGGACCCTGTTGCAGCTGCTGTGTCTGGCTGGGCCTATGGATTGGAGCACCCAGTGCCCCGGGACCCCTTGGGCTCAGCAGCCTGCTCCTCACCATCCCACCCAGAGAGTGGCCCAGCACCACGGGTACTAGCAGCTCAAGCCGGAAGCCACAGCAGCACCCTCCGTGCCAGGGGCCAATCTTGCTGGCCACCTGCATGTCCTTGAGTCCTTCGTTGCCTGCTGCAGTCACAGGGAGCTGGTGGCAGGCATGAGGAGCTGGAATCTGAGTGGGGCTCCCCACCCCCAGTCCCTGTGGAGGCAGCACACCAGGCAGTGGGGCACAGCCCCCGCTTCCATCCAGCCTGGGGGACAGGCCACCCATGCCGCAGAGAGAGGAGCCCCTCCTCCAGTTTCCCTGTGGCCCCACAAGAGCCTGGACCGGGCTTCCACGGACACCCATCCTTGCTGGGCACCCACACCCAGTTAGGGTGGCTGCTGGGGGCGGGCCTGGCCCAGGGTCGGAGATAAACCTGTCCCATTCTTTTCCCCCAAAAAGAAGAGCGTCCATCCCTCTCTCACTCCTGGATTGGCGGTAAGGACAAAAAATAAGTAAATAAAATGCCATCTTCTCAACCGAGAGAGTCGATTCCTTTGCCTTTTCTGATTTGCTCTTCTCTAAGGCCAGCTCATCTCTAGGCCCAGCTCCCTGCCCTCATCGACGGCCACAGGGACCAGCTCTCCCTGCCTGTCCCCAGGCCTCCTCCACACCCCATGGCCTGCACTTCCTCCATGGAGCCCCTGCCCCCCACCCCATGTAAGCGAAGCTTACTCGACCCATCCACACCTCCTCCCGAGCCCTTCACGACTCCCTTGCAGCCTCAGAGTCAGGTGGCCACGTGCTGGCACCTACTGAGGCCCACCCTGAGCCCCCACCTGTGGCTGCACGACGGGTGGTGATGATGGCAGCCAGGGGGCTCTGTGCTAGCTCAGCAAATGCTGGGGTTGATGGGGCTCCTTGATGGGCTGGGGACACTGGTAGGCTACGGAGTCTCCATGCCCAGGTGTATAGCCAGCCCTGGCCCCGGCCCCCTGGGCAGCGTGCGCAGGGAATATGAGTCTTCCCAGTACGGGCAGGGGTCTGTAACTCATCTTTCTGTCTGTGACTCATAGGACTTGGCACAGACAGACAGGCCTGTTAGTCCCTGTTGCTTGCTGGCCTTGGCTCCCACAGGGTGAGGGGCTCAAGCTGGAACAGAGGGGGGCTCCCATCTTTGGGGGCGAGAGAGAAGGCTGAGGCTGTGTGGCAGCTGTGGGCAGGGGCTGGCGCTCTCGGCTCTGGGCCTTCCAGCTTCCACTTGCAAGAAATGTGAAGGTGTGAGACCCCAGCCAGGTGGGCCCCAGAATTGGGCAGGGCGTGGCCGTGGTGCTGTGAGACCACACGTCTTTTGCTGTTGGCTCGTGCCCACCCTCGCCTGCAGACGCAGACAGACTAGAGAGGGCCATTCTTCCTGCGACTCGACTCGGGGGGTCCCTCTGTTCAATCTTAGCGGCAGATCCCACGGTCCAGCTGGTGAATCTTCCCCTGCCTGCGCCCAGCCGGCATCCAGGTCCCCAGCTTGCCCTTCCCTGGGACAGTGGGTCTGGGACAGACACCCCTCACTCCCCATGCTAGATTTTCTCGGAAGTTGTGCCACCGTGACCACCTCTGGCCAGGTAGGACCATGGGTGTCACCCGCCTCCTCAGAAATGGAGATCCAGGGCAGTGCCAGGCCGGCAGCCAGGGCCTGGGTTTTGGCCCATCTGTGCCACTGGAAGAGGGCCCCGGCTGAGTGGTGTGGCCTGTCTTCGTGCTCTCTGGGACTCGGTTTCCCCTTGTGCACACGGTCTTTGTGGCATTTGGAGAGGCAGCCGAGGTGTGTGGTGCAAGTCGGTTCCTGGGGCTGGCTCGGACAGGACTTGACCTCTGGCTGTGCCACCGCTGACTGCCTCCAGGGGGTACTCAGGGTGAGCCCCCCACCACCACCACGCTCAGGACTTGGGGCTGGGGGTGGCTGCCTGGAGGGAGTGGCGGAGCGGGGGTGTCCGGTAGGGGAGCAGCGGTCCCGCAGGCAGGGCAGGCGGCGTGCGGGAGGGGAGGGTCCGAACGCGCCCTTCGCCCCCGGCCTCCCGCCCCAGCCCGTGTCTCCTCTCTGCCCCCAGAGGAACCCATTTACTGTTACACCCCGCACAACTTCACGCGCGACCAGGCGCTGTACGCCCGCGGCTACTGCTGGACGGAGCTGCGGGACGCGCTGCCCGGCGTGGACGCCAGCCTGTGGCCGTCGCTGTTCGAGCACAAGTTCCTGCCCTACGCGCTGCTGGCCTTCGCCGCCGTCATGTACGTGCCCGCGCTGGGCTGGGAGTTCCTGGCGTCCACGCGCCTCACCTCGGAGCTCAGCTTCCTGCTGCAGGAGATCGACAACTGCTACCACCGCGCGGCCGAAGGCCGGGCGCCCAAGATCGAGAAGCAGATCCAGTCCAAGGGCCCGGGCATCACGGAGCGCGAGCGGCGCGAGATCATCGAGAACGCCGAGAAGGACAAGAGCCCCGAGCAGAACCTGTTCGAGAAGTACCTGGAGCGGCGCGGCCGCAGCAACTTCCTGGCCAAGCTGTACCTGGCGCGGCACGTGCTCATCCTGCTGCTCAGCGCGCTGCCTATCTCCTACCTGTGCACCTACTACGCCACGCAGACGCAGAACGAGTTCACGTGCGCGCTGGGCGCGGCGCCCGACGGCGCAGGCCGGGCCGTGCGCGTCCCCTGCAAGCTGCCGGCCGTGCAGCTGCAGCGCATCGTGGCGGGCGTGGACATCGTGCTGCTGTGCGTCATGAACCTCGTCATCCTGCTCAACCTCGTGCACCTCTTCATCTTCCGCAAGAGCAACTTCGTCTTCGACAAGCTGCACAAGGTGGGCATCAAGACGCGCCGGCAGTGGCGCCGCTCGCAGTTCTGCGACATCAACATCCTGGCCATGTTCTGCGACGAGAACCGCGACCACATCAAGTCGCTCAACCGGCTGGACTTCATCACCAACGAGAGCGACCTCATGTACGACAACGTGGTGCGCCAGCTGCTGGCGGCGCTGGCGCAGTCCAACCACGACGCCACGCCCACCGTGCGCGACTCGGGCGTGCAGACCGGGGACCCGAGCGCCAGCCCGGCCGAGCCGCCCGTGGTGAAGCGGCCGCGCAGGAAGAT